GATTTATCAATATAAATTACTGATTCTCATTGTTGTTTTTTTTTTCAGGCCTGATGGAATCGGAACTGTTTCAGTGGAAGAAAAAGAGAGATTTGAGGAGATAAAAGAGAGACTCTCTTCCCTTTTAGAAAATCAGATAAGCCATTTCAGGTGTATATTCTACTCATTAATACAGATATTTGCTTTGCTCATACTTCGCTACCCCCTCCCTTCCCCTAAAAATTGTTGATTATGTCTTTCTGCTACTACTCAAGAATTATCAGTCACCCCCCTGCCACACACCATTGCCTGCAGAGTATGAGCCACATAATTCAGTCTGTGGTCTGCCTCCCAGCCTGCCGTTCGGTTTCGACCACTCTTTTAGGTTACCCATTCCCTGTAAATATCCATTCCACTGTGCCTCTTGCCTGCCTTTCACGTTTCTCATCCTTGTATAGCCTCTTCCCCCAGTTCTGGTGAAGATTCCTCCTCTCTCTATCACCAGGCAAGGAGACTCTCAAGTCTCACCTCCACAGTGGAGCCTTTCTCAAAGATTCCAGCAAGGAGTGTTCTGAAGTCTTTTAGCATTTACTGTCTGTATGCTTCACTTGTCACTTATAACATACTTATTACATACATTGCTTCAGTCATTAGATATTTCTCTATTTACACTCTGAGAACACGGGCCTGGCACAGTTTCTTGCTCAGGAAAAATTAGCTATCAATGCTAAGAAACATTTGCAGTGTAAAAGATAAATATCTTGATAATATTTCCTTTCCTCTGATTATAGTTAGTTCAATAGAACCTAATGTTTAGAAACAGAAATATGCCAATACATTTTCTTTTGCTATCACTATTATTATTATTAGACCCTGTAAAATGTCACCATATTAATGTATTACGTCTTATAGCATGTCTACCATGTTGTGTGTATGTGATTTGGAATCATTTTATGTGAATTTATTTAGAATATAATCTCAGTGAATATGCCCTCCAAAAGTGTTATTTGACCATTTGATTGCTATAGGGCCATTCTGAGCTTCTGGTTCCTTTTCTGTAATATAAAGAGCTTAGACTCTGTGAGTTTCAAATGATATTGAAGGAAGAAATTCTCAGAGCATATACCATACATCTGTTCTCCTACATTAGTGATTTTCAACTGAGGCTGGTACCACTACCTGAGGGTAAGTGAATGAGGGAGGATTTTCATTGTCACAATAAAAGGGGTATGGGGCAGTCATTTAGTGCTGGATTTAGATGTGCAGTATATGGGACAATCCCACATTGGAGGATTATTGCGCCCAAAAGACCAGAAAACTCACTTTAGGAAAACTGTTCTAAATACTACATTGCATGGCCAAATTCAAGTTACAGAGTTAAGATTGTATTCTCTGCCTGAAATTAATAATTTTGAGTTTATAAACAAAATGAAGACATGAAGAAGTCTTTTGCATTTGCAGAGACTTATTTCTGCTTTTGCTGTTGTTGACAATGTTGTCTTCTGGGTTTTATAGATTCCTTTAAATGCATCGTATATGTCTTTCAATGAAAATCAATGTAATTTTCCCTTTTTTTTGCTATTGTTGAGAGAGAGAGCTCATCATTCAATTGGATATCTATGTCAGTAACTGGATAAGTCTCCCTGGTTTTTATATCAATGATTTCAGTAATAGAAATCCTACCCCAAAATGGTTTAAGCAATAAATAATTTATATGCTCACTTGCCTGCAGATCTCAGGCAGGGTAAGCTTTAAAACAGTCTTAATTCAGTAGCCATAGCTCCATTTCTTTGTGATTCTCACATTGCTATCCTCCTTTGTGGGATGGCTTCATCTCCAGACTGGTAGGAAGAAGAAATATCTTGGCTTCATATCCATGCATGCCAGTGTTCAAAGGAAATAGTAGGATCTGTCTCTTCTGTGGTTCTCTCTTAAAATCATGAAAAGTTTCCTTAGAAGATCCCAGCAAACTATCCCTCATCTACCACGAGCCTGGCTCTGAACCAAACCCAGTTTTCAAAGGAAGCCCATGAGCTGGATGCCTCAGTCACTAACATTCACATGGGATTGCCATGATTGAGTTAGACTACTCAGAACCATCTCACCAGGGGAACTCTCTCCCCCACGCTGCCACCCAGAGACTACATAGGAGGGAGCAGGATGTCCACATCATTTATTGTATTGGTTTTGTATATTAGTTTCCTCTCTTATATGCACATCCTCTTTGGATAGTTTCTCTAAAGGTGTACTCTACAATCCTTTTCCGTTTTATTTTTTAATGTACTTAGGACAAGAATTGAAATTAATTGGTCTAGACATTTTGTGCCAACTTTTATATTCTCTTTGGATGTTTGTAGTTTGCATAAATTTTCCCAGTTTTGTCTTCCTGAGTCTATAGAAGACTAGATAAGAGGAAATGGGTTTAAAATGAAATAGAAGACATTTTAGGTGGCACTGTAGGCAAACTTAGAAAAACAATATATTAAAATTGTACATTAGGACTCTCATAAGGATTCTACCACATTATCTTCCTTAGTCACTTATATTAAAATTTAGAAATAGCATAAATTACTTATGAACTCACACTAAAGAAGTAAAAACAGTACTATTGATAACTCTTATATAGGAATTTATTTAGGCCCAATTTTATTTTAGAAATGGATTTCAAAAACTCAGAAAAAAAAGATGGCATAATAAACATGTCTGACTCAGTGTCCTTATAGAAGCTAGCCAAAACAACAGAACAGTATTTTTTCAAGAAAGCATAAACCCAAAAGGACAAAAAGAGTAAGAGAGGAGAAAATGGCCTAGAAACAAAATTTTTGTAAGTCAGGTGGATGAATGGTATCTAATTTAGCCATCCAGGAAAAAAAAAATCGTAAGACGCTAGGGTGAAATCAGAGAAGCAATCTCATTTACATCATACAGCCACCAAAATGTTTAGGAATTGCTACTATTAGGCCCCTCTAGAAAGTAAGAGTGAGAACAATTTGGTGTAAATCTGCTCAAGAAGCACTTAGATCCCCAGATCTTTTTTCCAACTCAGCAGCTGACAGTAGACTACAGATTTATTCCCTGGAGATCATAAAATTAGATGGTACCTGCGTTGAGGTGGAAGAGAGGAAACATCAGGTACAGTTTATGGTAGAAACAGAGTAAATAAATGTTTATTCTGAAATTTGAGAATCACAGACCTCTCCCAGCACACACACACTTGACTCCCAAATGCTGGCAAACAGGCTTATACCTTCCAGGTATAGTGCAGGTGTTTTCCCTGGGTCTCTGATTAGCCCAAGAAGAAAGACCTAACTAAAGCTGTTGACAACAAAGACTTCCCATTCAAACAGCCCAGCCAGATCCCCCTTCTGCAAAGGCCATAGTGTATGATTACCATCTACATGCACATTAACCCTAAAATGAACACTACCCTCACAATCTAATGAGGATTACAAGCAGGACTCAAAAGGATCAAACTATTTCCAAATAATTTAAGTGCATTTTTAAACACAGAAATCAAACATATTTATAGGAGTACAAAAATATCTAGCCATCAATAAGGTAAAATTCACAATGTCTAGCATCCAGTCAAAATTTTTCAGTTATATAGAAAAATAGTAAAATATGATCAATGAAGAGGATAGAAAACCAACCAAACTGAGAAATGACACAGAATATAGAATAAATAAACAAGAGTATTAGAAAGATTATTATTAATGTGTGTGATATACAACCAGTTGAGGGCATATATGGACAACCTACAGCTAACATTATATTATGCTTAACGGTAAAAGACTGTTTTCCACCTAAGATCAAAAACAAGGCACAAATGTCTGTACTCACCATTTCTGTTCACAATTGTACTAGATGCTCTAGCTAGTGCATTGAGTCCAAAAAGATGAATTAAAGGCATCCAGATTGTAAAGAAGCAAAATTGTCTTTATTTGCAGTTGACATCATCATCTGTGTAGAAAATCCTATAGATTCTAAAAAATTCTGCTCTAATAGTAGAGTTTAGAAAAGTCACAGAATCCTAGATAAATACATAAATATTTCTATTTACTATCAACAATCAGAAATTGAAATATCATTTACAATAGCAACAAAAATTATGAAATACTTAGGAATCAATCTGTTGAAGAATGTACACAACCTGTATACTGAAAAGTACAAAGTAATATTGAGAAAAAAATTTAAATAAGGGAAAGGTATATTATATTCACGGTTTAGAAGATTCAGTCTTATTAAGATGTCAATTCTCACTAAATTGACCTATAGATCCAATGTTATTCCAATCAAAATCCCAGTAGGATCTTATATAAATTAACCTGATTCTAAAATTTATATGTAAATGCAAAGAATGTACCATAGCCAAAAAATAACTTTTAAAAGGGACGACATCGGAATGCTAACACTACCTGATTTCATATAAGGCTACAGTAATCAAGATAGTATGCTAAGGGGGAGTCCAGAAATAGACACACACACAAATATGATCTATTGATTTTCACTGAACGTGCAAGAGCAATTTGCAAAGTGTACTTTTTTCAACAAATGGTGCTGTAAATATTGGATATTCAAATGCAAACTGTTGACCTTGATCCATACCTCACATCTGATACAGAAGTTAACTCAAAATGAGTAGACCTAGAATTTAGTAGAAAATCTCTGTGTCCTTGGGCAAAGTAAAGATTCTCAAATAAAATACCAAAATCATGATTCATAAATGGAAAAATTGTTACCTCAAAGTTGCTCAAAATTAAGAACTTTTGATCTTCCAAAAATACTGTCAAAGAACTAAAAACATAAGTCACAGAATGGGAGAAAATGTTTATGTAATGCATATCCCACAGTAGACTTTAATTTAGAATATATATACTCTTAAAACTTAATTACAAGAAATTAATCAACCCAATTAAAAAATTGTTTTAACAGATATTTCACCAAATATAGATGATGGCAGAAAGACATATGAAAAGATGCTCAACAACATTAGATACCACTGCATACCTATTGGTATAGCTAAAATTCAAAACAAAACAAACAGAAATTGAATGTAAGTGTTGGTATGCTTGCGGAGAAACTGGAACTCTCATATGCTGTTGATAAGAATGTAAAATGTGACAACCCACTTTGAAAATTAGTTTGGCAGTCTCTTAAAAATTTAAGCACCTATCATATGACCTAGCCATTCTACTCCTAGATATTTTCCCAAGAGAAATGAAAGCATATGTCCACAAAAAAACTTTTATATGAATGTTCATAAGCCAAATGGCCCTCAGCAAGGAATGGATAAAGAGTGTATTCCGTGTAATGGAATACCACCCAGTGATAAAAAGAAATGAGCTGTTGATACATGCAACAGCATGAATAAATATCAAAATAACTATACCAAGTGAAAGAAATCAGACCCAAAAAAGTAAATACTGTATGTTTCCTCTGACATAAAATTGTAAACATACAAACTAATCCAAATGACAGAAAGTACATCAGTAGTTGCCTGTGGTGGGAAGGAAAGATTTGGGGATCATGAATTATCCTGATTGTGGTGTTAGTTTCACAAGTGTATACATATGTTATTAATAAAACTTAACCAAATTATATACTTTAAATATGTGCAGTTCATTGTATGTCATTTACACCTCTAAACATAGCTGTTTTAAAAAATAAAAGCTAAATGCTTCTCTTCCATAGTGGGAAGTTAATAGGATAATATCTAAAACTGAAAAATCAAGAGATAAAAATATTAATATGAAATTTAGGGATATAAAATTTAATTACCAAAAGAATCAGCTGAAAGTTGACAGCATCTTTTTTTTTTTTTTTTTAGAAAGAAATTACTTGGAGTGAGGTGGAACTGCCATAAAGGGCTTCTGTTTTTCATTAAAAAAAAAAAAAAAAAACTTCATTTAAAACTAGTTTTCTCTTCAGAGTATGTGCATATTATATATAACTTTGATTAAAAAATACAATGTTTAAAAATGGATAAGGGAAAGATAGGGCTTATCAAAGGACAAGTCTATGCAGGCTCGTTTATCTATGTAATTAAATTACCAAAGTGGGAATAAGGGTGACTTCAATTTATTCAGATTAGGTATTAAATGTAGTTGAATTTTATTTGATAATTGAGTGTTTCCACTTTGCTTTGCTGTTATAGAGCTGTCAGAGTGGTAAAAACCCCAAATATTTATCCTGAAAGGCAGAACAAAACGATTCCCTTCCTTTAAAAGTTGTTTTGTGAAGATTAATTAAGCTTCTGTGTAGTTATTTTCTGTACTTTATTGATTCAGGATTACTTGTACTCTGTAAATGTGTTGAATTATTTACACATCGTGGGCAGCTAATGCTAATTCAGAACATACCCAGTGGGACCTCAGAGCCCTGAAATGCTAAATGTAATCTGGGGATCAGTAACATTCCATTCATAAAATGTGTCACCCACAGGTTAATGGAAATAAACAATAGGAAAGACAATGGGTGGATTATGCAAATACACTGAAAAGATTAAGCAGGGGGAGGGGACTACAAGAACCAATTTGTGTTTTATTTAAACGTGGATTAGGGTTTATAGTATACAAAATGATTCAAGCTATTTCGCTAATTTCCTAATGCTCTAAAAAGCACCACTGCATAGGAAAAACTATCAAAATAAATTGGTTGTAGCTTTTTTTTTGGCCTGACGGGGAGAGTCATAGGGTACATAGAGGCAAGATTAAGCAAAGAAATCTTGAGCAGTAAATATAGTGTTCTGAAGAAAAATTTGAGTGACTGGATTTCTATAACATTTAGTTGCATTTGTCTGAGACCAATGAAAGTTTCACAAAACTAAAACCCAATCCTACTGTAAATTCAACTACTGCTTTATTTTAAGACGTAGGGAAAAATCAATCTTTTTTTTACTTTAAAATTTGGTCACCAATTAAATAACAAATATGCTTTATAGGGAAACCCAATCACATTACAATGTGCAAAAATAATTGAGAAAAATGTGTCGGTTAAGTCTGTGAATAATGGAAAAATATATGGAGATGAGTAAACTTCATTCCAAGTTATTAGTTTGCAGATTTCTAAATCAGAGCAAGGTGGCAGTCTAAGGACAGCCCAGCTGCCTGTGGCACTTGATCTTGGGGTGGGAGCTGCGATCCTGGAAGGGGGTGCTTTGCTGAATCTGGTTCAACAAAGCAAGGAGCTCCGAAAGGATGAAATGACCATGATGTTCAGTACTGTTTCAGTGGAAATTGACCTGAAGAGGGACCCCCTTGTAAAAAGCAATAAACCTGTTACCATGATGTAGCAAGGAACTTCTGAGTGGTTCACTCACTCTCCCAGCCTCTGATCCTGATTTCAGAACATCCCTGTAACCTGGCCTCCGTTTGTTGGTGTGCAGTAGGAATACTGGGGATAAATGATCCTGCTGACAAAAGAACTACAGAAGGTTTATGTGTGTTGTGTGGGGAGATTGAAGAGTTAGCACCATGGTAGACAGGCAAATGTCAGCAAAGGGCAGAACTGGAACCTTGTTTGTCCTAGAAGTTATTGTCCGTGGTGTATGTGGCCATCCTGAACCACTAAATTAGGGAAATCATTTCATTTTCTGTTGGATAATGAAGCTTGAATAACAAGCTTCAAGATAATGAGCTTGGATAACAAACCTTAAACAAGATATTATTAGGAAATGCATATAATCTCTTCACTAAGGACCCTTGAGTTTCTTTTTTATTTACTGTATTTTTGAATACATGTGTCATCAAAATTTTAGAAGCTTTTTTATCACAGTTTACACCTGTATTGTTTAAGGCATTGAAATCATAGGGCTAGATAAACTTTAACAGTTAGAAATTTGATGTTATTTTAACTTCATTTCATTGTTCTTCGCTAATGCCAAGCAATATAAGTGGGAATTATTTAACAGTCTTGGGCATTAAATGTTTGACTTTTTTGTTACTTCTTTTGTCTTTAAAGATATTGTTTTCCCTTTGGACGACCTGAAGGTGCTCTAAAAGCTACACTTTCATTACTCGAAAGGGTATGTTTGAACGTTACTTTATAAATACTGTATGTGTTCTCAATTGCTGTATATTTTAGTTATTGAACTAGGCAGATAGTCCTATTCCTCTGTACTGTTTAGAGTCCATGCATTTCATGAATTTCTCACCTTTTCTTACTACATTCAAACTGTCCCCATACCAACTTCTTCCTCCCTGCAGCCTTTTCCAAAGCCTTCCACTGCCATCCTGTCTTGATATCGTGGCATCTTTTTGATAGTATTCATTACTCCCACCTTTTTTTCCCTCATGAAATAGTATTTTTTTTTTCAGTTAACTATGATTATCTCTGCTTTTCAGACTTCATAGTTGTCTTTTATTATCCCTCCAACTTTATTTGTACTTATACCTGTCATAGTCCTCATGCCTGTAAGAGTTTATCATTTAATATTCACCAGAATATCATTTCTCATTCAAAATTCATCTCAGAGTTTATTTCAATTACTCCAGTTCGTGTTACCTTAAATGAATTCACAAGGTGTAAGAATTAATTTCCCCCCCACCAAAAAATAACAGCCAAACAAGATTTAAAATCCATACCGACAAATCATTTTTTAATGAAAGGTATATGCTCTACTCCTGTTTTTGTGACAGTTGAAGTTTGAAAGGGAAGTATTATTTTCATGTGTCTATAAATCTATTCATATACTAATTGGATGCTAATGGTTAAGTAATGTGGCCAACTGTTCCTTATCAGAATTTAAAAGAATTTCTAGGTATCATCTATACTTCTTAATTTGATTATCCTGATCCTGATTTATTGACTTCATGTACTTGTTCTTGTCCATGTTTATGCCAGATTAATTTTAGAGATTACATTGTTTGTTAGCCTCTCTATTAAAAGCAAAAAGAGAAGACAGTGGTCAGACATTATATCTCTATTTCAGTGATTTAAGAACTTGGGGGAGGAAGACTAGAACGGATGATTAAAATGAGATCGGATTACAGATTGATTTTATTTTTATATCCCTGTCTTATCCCTGATTATTGTGCCTTGTGTGATAGAAATATTATTGTAATAGTTGTGTTTTATTATAATTTTTATGGTATTGAAAGCTGTACATAACTCAGATTTTTCATAGTATTCATTTTATCCTATTCATTACGGTATAATGGATAATATAAAATCCTTAAAGATTGCTTCAGTTTTTGGAACAGCATCCATCATGGGTACCTAGTGCAGCCCGTGTCCTAGTTTCTATAGCAGAGCTTCCTTCCTCACCCCAGCAGGGAAGAGTTAGTAATAGCAGAGATGCCCTTGTGCCCTGCATTGACAGGTGGCAGGATGAACAGGGACCTTTATTCTAGTTACAGTCATTAATCACATCTCTTGCTGAATTGAGAGAGAAATGTTAAGGGCCATCTCTTCATTTTTATGTCTCTTCACTTACTGACATAGAAAAATAAAACAATCTATATGTGAATTCTTGAAACCTGTGTTCAGAAGAATATGGGAGGAAGCATGAAACAGGGGTTGGCATCTCCCTTTTTGCATTTGCCAGCCCTTTGCCTGCACTTGCCAGGAAAGAAGATTCAGTCTCCCTCCCCCCACTCCATATTAAATGCCTCACTTCAGATAATGTGAAAAATTTCCTGATTTAAACCCTAGACTCATTTCTATGGTAGCCATATGCATTCTAATTTTAACAGCTATTTCTCTTATTTAATGTTTGTCACCATGGGAAGTCTGATAGTAAAGTTCATGGTTCTGCATTTGGAATAAAATTAATCTTAAAGTCAAATTTTAGAAATAATCACATAATATAGTATGTGTTCAATGCTTATATATTTTTTACTGTGCACAGAAGTATTTTTCTGGCCTCAAAGTCTAATGTGCAGTTCTAATTAAAGTGCCAATTATATGTCAGAATAATGAAGAATAATTGAATTTGATAGGGGAAGAAATTTTCCAAATAATAAACTTTGCAGTTTGCAAGAAAGGAAACCTTGCCTAACAAAATTTTTAAAATGTTGTCAATGAGTAGCCTTAAAAGAAAAATTGTCAAGAATCCCTGATACTTGGATGATTGAATAAATTAGAAATTATGAAATCCTTAGTGCTGAGGCCGACTGAAAGAGAATGAAATAATAAAGCATGAAATGCATGTTTTCATGTTCTTTGAATATTCCTTTCAAAATAAAAGACTAATAGAATAGTTAGAGAATTTTCAAAAGCATTGTCTTCTCTATATTAACACTGTGCCATATATTTTATAATTTGAATATAAGCAAAACAAGAAAAATTGCATTAAATATATGGAAAAATAGTTTGACTAATAGCATAATCAAAACTTATTGTGATCAGTTTTATCACTAAGAAAGTTTTAAAGAAGATTATGAATGGGTCAATATAAAAGTGTTTAAATACACTATATTTTGAATTCTGGATATAACTGTATTTTTTCCCTGCCCAGCAATACAGCTTTTTAAGAAAAATCCAAAAGCATATTTTAGGAACACAATAGAGAATAATCAGTTATTTTTTTTGAAAATCCCAGAAAGTTTACATGTATTTTGACATTTGATACTCCATAAGCACTCATTTCACTAAGACAAAGAGTTTTACTCCCTTCTCTTTTTATAGTCTGCCATGGTATTCTCAGCAAATCACAAATCATTAAAGTTTAATTAGTAAGAATAGAGGTCTTTATTATTTTAGAGCTCAAAAATTATGCTTATTCTTAATGGAATTTTTGTTTTTGTTTGCAAATATATTGCTCAAAAGGTTTAAGGCTTTTAAATGAGGGATGTGCAAGACAAACTTTGTTTATTACTTGTCCCAACTGTAATCCTGATCTGAAACAGCTGCTCTAATGGTGTTGTGGGTCCCTAGAGGAAAAGTGACAGTCACACTGAATGGTGGCCTGGCTTCTGGGAGGTTTTGATGGGCATAAATGAGGCTCAGACGGGAGGAGCCAAGGTTGGAGGATTACATTCCCAGTTGTGAAGTGCCGACTCATTACTTCCCCCCATGTTACCTAGGACCCCTTTCCCCTTCCCAGCAATAGGTCCAGGACAATTTGTGCAATTTGTTTTTAGTATTTATTTTATGCAATATCTATCTTCTTTTCCTCTGTCTGTCTCTACCCCCTTCCTCTCTTGGTAGGTTTTAATGAAAGATATTGCCACTCCCATACCAGCAGAAGAGGTGAAGAAAGTGGTCAGAAAATGTCTTGAGAAAGCTGCCTTGATCAATTACACTAGACTCACAGAATATGCCAAAATAGAAGGTCAGTGCAGTGAGCAATTGCCAAAGTTGCAGTGAGAGCCCACAATGCCTATTAACTGAATTTTCTATGAGAAGTCCTTTCCTTTCCTGAACAATCCTGTGCCACGGCAAAGGGAAATGTCTCATTAAAATCTCAGCTGGTGAACTGAAGAGCTTTTTCCTATTCATTGCTTTAATATGCCTCCTGGGACTCTGCTTGAATGAAAGACCCAGGATTCGTGCTTAAGTTGTCCTTTGTTCTTATTTTGAGTTTTCAAGAAACCAAAAGGTGTTTTCATGGGTTGCATTTTTTGACATTACTGTAAGTATGTCTAACATTTAAACTAAGGGCCGTGGATTCTTTCCTGATCAGTAACAGTGTACTATTACATAATTTTATTTTCTGTTCTGCGGTGTCACTCAGAGAAGGAGGAGACTTGTTGATTATTGTGAGGGCTGAAATAAACTGATAGAACTTCCTGCAGTTTTTAATTGCTTGCAATATATTGATGCATTTGAAAGATTAGGTCTCTCGAGAGGACTGTGCATTTTTTTTTTCTCTTTCTTCAGGCTTTATTCATTAAGGATACTGATATTTAAAATGTTTAGAAATAAGTAGATTGGAATTTAAGGGAAAGTCACAAAATCAGCTTTTATTCAACAGTCCTTTGATTTATATAATTAAAAGTTACAGAAAAGATCTCAAATTCTTTGTTCAAATTATCATAAAACCGGCTTATATAATAATACATGTATCATTAATTAAAGGAAGGAAAAAGTTTGCAGTTGATGTTAAATACTTAGTATATCTGAAAATAAAAAATAAGTCATCCTTTAAAAAAATTTCAATATAAAATTGTACTTAATGAATTATAAATTTATTAATTGATACGATGATAGTTTTCTCAAAATTCAGCCAATGAAAAAGATTGATTATAATTGTTTGTGTTATAATTCCTTTTTTCTCTCCAAATCTGGTCAAGCTTTCTAACAAGCATACGATAACCAACCTCCTGAGTGATTAACAAAAAAGCCATCTCATCACTATAGCAACCAATATTATATCACGAGAGTAACAACATGAAACCTCCTTAGTTACCAGTTTAACATCATTAATTATGATATCATGTTGTGTTAAGAACATGCGGTCATTTGGGGAAAGTGGAAGATAAACACATTGGTTTTCAGTTTTGAATATTCATTCAGATAATGTTTTGGGAGTTTTGAGTGTTCTGAACACCGATGGAAAGAATTGATATAAAAATAGACGTAATAAATAAATCCTTTCAAATTCGACAAAGAGAAGAAAAGTTTGTGCATAACTTGAATTAACACTGTACTGTTTTATATAAATGTTATGAACCCTATCGGAAAAACAATAAGGATCTTTTTGTTCTTGACTGTCTGTTTTAGTTAATATTTTTGACCATTACCTTGTCCAAGAATACGAAAAAAGATAAGCAGTATATTTCTCTGTTTATCGCTGTATTTTATACTCATAGGATCTATTTTAATATTAATAAAGAACTTCCTTTTTTGTAGACATAAAAACAAGTCGGTGTTAGAGAAAAGCCAATAGTAGAGCCAAATGGATGGTGAGCAGGGAGCCGTCCCACTGTTTCCCTTTCTGGAGTCACCCTTCTCTTACCTCCAGTCTAACGTGAGAATATTCTAAAAAATGGATCCAAGCAGTCCACTCACACAGGCCTGCCAAGTAGTCTCCATTCAAAAAAAACCAAAATGCTCATTTGATGAGAAAAGCTTCTGTACCTTTTTATTATCTTCCTTCCCCCACCTCCAATTTTTATCTTAAAAGAAAAAGTGCTTTTCTTTTATACTCACGAGCAGACCAAGAACAAAATCAAATTTTAGTTAGAAATAGGAAGTAGGCTACCTTTCCTTGCTTGGTTGGCCTTCTACATTATATGAGCAACATGGGTAGAGTTTGCTATTCTCCTAAATTTTCTTTTCTTATGTTTTAGGCCCAGCAGAAAAGGAAACAGGTAATTAATATTTCTGCATGCACGTGCCTTGTTTCCCATGTAGTGTGTGATATCTTTTAAACCACTTTGTTGATATATGGCTGACAAACAAAAAGCTGTGTGCATTTAATGTACACAAATTGATAAGTTTGGAGATAAATATACAGCCATGAAACCATCACCACAATCTATGCCACAACCACCTCCATCACCTCCAAGTTTCCTCCCACCCTCTTTATTTATTGTTATTATTATTGTTTTATAATAAAAACATGTAACATAAGATCTACCTTCTATTGTTAACTGTAGGCACTCTGCTGTATAGTAGATCTCTAGGACTTAATTTATCTTATGTAACTGAAACTTTATATCTTATGATTAAACTTTATATCCTATGATTAATACTTCCCTATTTTCTCCTCCCCTGGAGATCACTCGTGGAAATCACTGTTATGCTTCTGAGTTTGACTATTTTATATTACTCACTTAAGTGGAATCATACAGTATTTGTCCTTCTGTATCTGGCTTATTTTACTTAGCATAACATCTTCCACAAATGGCGGGGTTTTCTTCCTTTTTAAGGCTGAATACAATTCTGTTGTGTGCGTATATATACCACATTTTCTTTATCCATTCAACTATCAAGGAACATTTAGGTTGCTTCCACATCTTGGTTATCGTGAATGGTGCTGCAGTGAACATGGGACAGAAAATAATCTCTTTGAGATCCTGATTTCAATTCCTTTGGATATATACCCAGAAGTAGGATTGTTTAATTCTATGGTAGTTTCATTTTTAATTGTTTCAGGAATCTCCGTACTGCTTTCCATAGTGTCTGCACCAATTTACTTTCCCACCAATAGTATACAAGAGTTTCCTTTTCTCCACATCCTCACCAATACTTGCTATATTTTGTTTTGTTTTGTTTTATAATAGCCGTCCTAACAGGTGTGAGATGATATCTTATTGTGGTTTTAATTTGCATTTCCCTGAAGATTAGTGATGTTGAGCACTTTTTCATGTACCTGTTGGCCATTTGTATGTCTTCTTTTGAGAAATATCTATCCAGTACACTTGCCTACTTTTAAATTGGGTTGTTTGGGATTTTGCTATTGAGTTGTATGAGTTACTTATATATTTTGGCTATTAACCCTTTATCAGATATATGGTTTGCAAATATTTTCTCCTATTCTGTAGGTTGCCTTTTTATTTTGTTGTTTCCTTTACTGTTGGTGGTGTGATATTTTGATATTGACGAATAGCAAATCTCTTTTTCAGGGCTTCTATTATATCATTTTGATTAGGGTACTGAAAATGCTTTGATTTTTATCAGAACAATTGCTAATGCTTTGTGGGGAAAGTATAGGCCATTTATCTCTGTAAAAGTTCAGTGATATTTTTTGATATGAATTCAAAGCAAAAACCCCAAGGCTATATTAATGTTCTGCATTGTGTTTTAAGCGTGGACACTAATCTTATTTGGAAGCTGTCACCAATATTTGAAGGGCTCTTACAGCTAGAAAAGAGGACCATCTTCCTTTACCACTCTTGAAAATAGCATGAGGGTAAAAAGCATAAATGCCATTAAATAACAAGTAAGCAGTTATTAACTTTGAAAGTTGTTAATCACAGTGATAAACAGAGGTTATGAATTCCCACCCTCAGGAAATTTCTCAGAAAGAGTTCTCTCGAGTCACTGATTTTTAAAGATTTTATTACTTTTTTCTCATACCTCTTATCACAATTGTAATGAATTTAACACATGTGCCATTCTCTGTTCATCCTGTCCTCTCTTCAGCTCCTTGCAGGCAGGATCATTAGTGACTTGTTCACTCTTATATCCCCAGCACTGAGCACTGTGCCTCTTGACACAAAATAGGCGCTCAGTGCTTTGGAGAGAGAGACAAGAGATTAGTTAGTTCCATCTGAAAACAAAGGAGCAAGAGACAAGAGATGAACCTTCCCAGTCCTAATTATCTCATTTTAGTCAAATTTTGTTTGCAATGCTATAGATAAGTTTGCTTGGGTTGTTTTTAACTGAAATCTTCCATTAAGGGCTCTATTTCTTTTCTTTTCTTTTCCCTACCCTTTTCTATTATTTTCCAGTATTTGATCCAAGAAAGTGATAGGAACAAAACACTTAGAGCCATGAAAAGGGGAAAGAACATGCCTACAATGATTGCTAAGTGCACTCCAGAAAAAAATAAATAAATTAGAAAAAAAAAATGAGACTATTATCATCACCTGTATGACAGCTCATTGTTAATAGCAACAGTCTCATGCTCTTTAACAAACTTTTTCAAAAAGTATTATGCCCCACAACAGTCCTGTTGTGAAAACAGTTTTTATCCCAGTTTACAAACAGAAGTCCTGGGTCGTTGGTGGCTTTCCCACTGCCATAGAGTAAATAAGTCTGCCAGCTGGGACTGGACTCAGGTGTCATGCTCCTTAAGAGGCTGTGCTTCTTCCCCTGTGAAATACAGAAGGCTCACAGTGCGTCTTTGTGAAGCATGGGGTGCAAGTGCTGTATAGAGATGTCCTGGTCCTGTTAAAGAGAAGAGCAGGGAGGAAAGGAGCTGTCCTTCAGTGCACCTCACTTCCACGGATGGAAGTTTTCCCTTCACATTTATTTAGCATCCATACCACTGCTCAGCTGTACAAGTTGGCAACTCTAGGAGAATACTTCTATTAAAATTAAATGCTTGTGTAGAAGACAGGGTTTTTAAAAAATGTGGTTATGTTCATTTAGTTGCATTTGGTAGCAAGCAAACCTAACAGGGTTACCTAGTAAATGTTATTGGGGGTGGGGGGTTGCTTTTAAAAGTGAGTAAAAATGAGAATATCAGCTGCATGTGTAAGAACTAAAATGCTTGATAATACTTTCAAACAGTCTCTTTAGCATTATAATCATTTTCTTCAGTTTGCTTATACCCTCTAGAAAAGAGTGACGTTCTGCCCCAAATTTGTCAAAATTTTGTCATCTGTTAACTGCCTACGTGCCCCAGAGATTTTGCTATTTACACTGGTTCATTAGTTCTTT